CTCGTTGGGAAAAGGAACAAGTAAATCAATGAGGCTACATTAGGGATGAGCACAGATAAGGGGCACCTCACCAGCAGTTAGCAGTTGGAATTGGGTGGTAATGATCAAGGGGAAAGGGGGAAGAAAATAAGCATTCCTAAATCATTCTCAGTACAAAAGCCCGAAGCAAGAGAGAGCGTAGCCTATCCCGCTAGTTCTACAACCCTATCTCCGGATACACTCAGATTCTGAGGTACTGTGGGCGAGATTTCAACCTATACATTTTGAGGGGACACAATTCAGCCTGTTAGAGTCCATGGAAGGGCTTTTGGGGCTTTATGAGCCCCCAAACTGAATACTGTACTTTGCATAAGTGAGCGTTTGTCTGAGACGTGCGCATGGCATGCAACGGATTCTCAAAGGGGTCTGATCCCTCCAATGGCCTGTTGCATTAACCGACTCAGGAGGAAGTCGAAGCTATGGGACGAAAGGCCTAAAAACACTGTGTGCATCAATAAATATCATTTGGGGTTTAATGGCCTGTGAAAGAAGAGAGGTGAAGCTGACTGCCAGACTCCAAGTCTTATGGTGAAGCACTGAAAATTCTGTTGGAACTGGTAATGAGGGAAAAGGGATTTTTATTTGGGGACCTTCTCTGAATTTCATGGCAAAGTGTGCGATTTCCATGACTGTCAATAAAAAACACTGGTGATTTTCCATAACTAAGTGGATTCAATGAAACTAACCTTCTGCTTAGTATGTCCTTCCTAATATTTTCCTAAAAAGAAGGTCACAGAGCTACAAAACTGTCACCAGCTGCTTCTCATTAGGAATGTGGTTAGCAGATGTGGGTTTTCATAGTCCTAATGCATGAAATAGTTAATCCATTTTTGTGGGTTGCAGATAGTGATTTATTTTGGCGGGGTGAATTTTCAAATGTGCTTGCATCAGCTAAAGGATATATTTTCACCTTTCCCTCTTTCACTTCATGTTTGTGCTAGAAAGAAAAATACGTTTTAGGATCTTTCTCCTGGAAGGCAATGGAGTACTGCCCTTTGAAAGGGACAATTGATCTCACTGTCTTCTAACTGGGAAAGTCACGCATGGATAAATTTTCAAAGTTGGATGTTGGATTGGTTATCTTACAAGCTTCATTCTTCCTTTGGTCTCTTCTTTAGTAGTAATTGAGCAGCTCTTGTTTTTGTTCCTCTGGCATCAGGCCCTCTTTGTGGTGGTGACCTTCAGGCTTGCTAAGGGCTGCAATTTTGCCTGGAGCCCTCCTTTATGAAATTACACAACACTCAAACCTTGGAACAAACCCCAGATCCACTAATTCTTTCCTTTGACGGACTCTTGGCAATACCTACTCCCTTTCAGCCGAAATGTAGCTTTATACAAGATCTGTTTGTCACCAAAATTAATTTGGCCATTTGCTTTTTAAGCCTGGAATCAAATGGTATTATGGCAGACTCATTCCTAGATAAAGTATAGACTCTTAAGCTTGAGACTTTCTACCAAAGGTAGAAAATACCTGATGCAGGTCAACAGATAATAATAACAGCAGCAGGTACTTTTTATGGAACTCTCAGGGTGGCGGGTACAGTGAGCTAAACACTTCACATACGACCTCCCAATTAACCCTCACAGCTATCCTTAGAGGTAGAAGGCATCTGAATTTTTCTGAATAAGAAGCTGAGGCTCAGACCTCAGCCCCTTACCCCTTGTCATAAAGTATACTAAGTAGCCAAACTACAATTTGAGTCCTGTGTTCTTAATTACCATGCTATACTATACACCTACTATGAGGGAGAAGGGGGGGAAGACCATTGGGTTTTGAGAGAGCATAGAATCAGAGCCTAAGTCATAGAATTCTAGGAAATTATGGAACTGAGAGAGCTAATCCAACCCCCTCCTTTTAAAGGAGTAATAAAAAATAGGGGCACCTGGGTGGCTCAGTCATCTGGGCGTCCAACTGGTTTTAGCTCAGGGCAGGATCTCAGGGTTGCTGAGAAAGAGCCCTGCATTGGACTCTGAGCTCAGCGGGAAGTGGGCTAGAGATTCTCTCTCCCCCTCTCCCTCTGCCCCTCCCCCATATGTGCTCGCTGTCTCTCAAATGAATAAATCCATCTTTTAAAAAAAATAATAAAAAATAAAGTAGCAATGATCCCTGCCTTGTTCTGAGAAACAGTGAGATAACAGCTTGAGCAGAGGATGCATATTGGTAGGTGAGAGGAATGAAAGGTTATTAGGAATTATCTCAGCCATTTCCTTTTTTAGAGGTAGATAAAATAACATGCCAGTTCAGAGAATTATCTAAGCTTGTCTCTCTGTCCCTAAGAAACCGTGGAAACAGATGTGTACTCTTTTTATTTCAGCTTTCATTATCCACAGTAAGTAGATTTCCACTGACTACTTGAGATTTCCTAGATTGTAATTTTCACTCTGCAAGGAACCAGTAACCTTCAGAGGGATTATTTGAAATGACTACAGCACAGAAGGCACTGAATTTCAATCAATCACATGTTTAATGAGTTCTTCTCGGCAAGGCAATATTTTTGGAATAGTGGGGGACGAAAAGAAGTCAATGGGTGGTCCCTGCCTGCCTGTATTTTATAACCTACTCGGGCAAAACAGGCAGGCATAGAATAAAATTGTTCAAAGGAAAAATCCCAGCAAATTGGATAGACAGGGAAACCTGGGATGAGATCTTGCTATGTGGGAAAGTGGTTGAGAGGGGCAGGAGGTGTTTGGAAGGATGGCCTCAGTGGGGAACGTGCAAGGCATCACACTGACTGAATGTGGCTGATCTGAACGTAGTGATGAGAGAGAACACTGAAAATTAGAGTCTGATGGAGGACCTTGTAAAAACAAACAGCTCAATAAATCGGGGATTTTTCACTGATATATTTAAAAATAATCTTTTAAGTAAAAACTCCCAAGTAACCCAAATAGCAATCACCATTACCTTCTCTCCTCCTAGAGTTAAATACCTAGAGTTATGTCACATAACTTGCTATCTTATGTAAGTGCCCTTGCTATTTAGTTGGAAGATCTGTGACTTCCTCCAACTCTGTTGATCAAAAAGTTCTTAATACTTTTGGAAAGAATTTCCAGCACTTCCCTTTGCTAATAAAGGTGTCGTTCAAGTGCCCAACCTCTGGATGATTATGGACATAAAAGTGTTCAAAATAGTGCTTATACTCGAAGGAATCAGCCGCCAAGTTCTCTCTAATAAGCAGAAATTTCACATAACTCAGGCCTCTGGGGGCTCACGCCTCAGCTGGAGCAAAGCCAGGAACATCTGTGACTGCAGATGCACTTGGTTGGGCACATCGGGACCTGCTGGAACAGGGAGCTGGCCTCATTGCAATTGATTTAGGAGAGGATTGGAGGGTTGAGCTTCTGCTGACATTTGCAGCTTGGAAAATCCTGCTCCCCTAATTGCAAAGAGGATTCTGCTGTAATGATTTTTTTGGTAAGAACTTTTCTCATTTTGAATTCTTTCTTCATTTGGGCTCTGGATACTTTCCAGTCTCCATTTTTATTGTTTTAACTCCTGGTATAGGAGGCTCTTTGAATGTTCCTGCCCACACACGAATGTGCATTCATAGAGAAGTGCATGGACATGGCTTACGAGCTTCAACATGTACTTCATGAGCAAGCAGGTATCCAGACCCTTTTACGGGAATTGGTGCACATTCATTCCCTCTGCTTGCAGCCCCACTCCGCACAAGTGAAAACATGGGGATTTCACTTTTACTGCTGAAGAAAAGTTAGAGGGCACCTTGACCTCATGTTTTTGCTGAGATCTCTGTCAGCAGTGTGATTTCTGGACCCTCATTTTTGAGGTTTGAGGTATGTAGTAAAGCCCTGGACCAGGAGGCTGGGAGACCCAAGTTTTTTCTCCTTCCTCACTGTGGACTTTGGGCCAGAGTCTTTGGCATTCTGGGCCTCAGTTTCCTCAGTTCTCCCAGCCCATGAAGCTGGAAGTGGGTGGATTGCAACATTCATGTCTTTGGATAAAAGCCACTGCAGGGTCTGCAGTGTGCATACAATTTTGGGGATACCCATCAACATTTGCCCCAACAACCGGCCATGACCTCCAGGGTAAAAAAGTTAGATCTACAAATCCAAGTCCAAACTCTTCCATATTAGATGATATGAGGCTTTTCACACTCCTTTCCTGCCACCTCCACTGACCCTATGCTGTGTTCACATTGGAATTATGACATCTTCCTAAGTAACCATCATTCTGTAAATATCTATGAGGCCTACCTATTGTAGCTGCAGAGCTGAAGAAGCAATGGTCCCCTCACTCCAGGCAAGTGAACAGGTGATTACAAAACAGAGTAACAAATACCTGTATTCATGTCTCTGGACCTTTGCTTATGCAATTCTCTCTGCTCCACCTACTCACCTTACATTGTCACCTCTGTGAAGCTGACCCCAGGCCCAACCGAAGGTTTCTTTTACTCTGCTCTGAGGGCGTATTCTACATGTCACTTAACCGCATAGTATCGCCTCAGATTGGTTGGTTCTCAGTTCTCCTCCGCCACTAGACCGCCAGCTCTTAATTGTGGTAGGTTTTATTCAGCTCATCTCCAGGCATCGAAAGGAGCACAAGGCTGAGCACTCAGTAAATACATAATGAACCAATCAATGCAAAAGTGAACGTGGAACCAAGTCTAGCCGGCTTGCAAAGTGCTTCTTGTGGCTGATTTTGTTTTCCGGACCGGGGCTGCTCGAACTGCGCGGTAGAGGTCAGGAGTTTCGGGGTGGCCATCGGAGACCAACCGAAGGAGAACGTGAGACGGAGCCCTCACGGCGCCCGCGCTGCCCAAGTCCAGCGAGCATCAAGGGACTGGCCTAAAGCAGCGCAACGACTTAACCTCCCGGAAGCTGCTCCGCCCGCCACTCCCCGCCCCTCCGGACGATGGGCGTGGCCTTCATGAATAATTAAAGACTGCGGGGTGGGGAGGGGCAGGACCCGCCCCCTCGGGCGGGAAGGGGGAAGCGCCGAGGCTGCCTGACTGGAATGAGGGTAGCTGCGGCGACTGCGGCGGCGGGAGCGGGGCCGGCCATGGCGGTGTGGACGCGGGCCACCAAAGCGGGGCTGGTGGAGCTGCTCCTGAGGGAGCGCTGGGTCCGGGTGGTGGCCGAGCTCAGCGGGGAGAGCCTAAGCCTCACGGGCGACGCTGCGGCGGCTGAGCCCGAGCCGGCTCTGGGGCCGGCAGCGGCTGCCTTCAACGGCCTCCCGAACGGCGGCGGGGCCGGCGACTCGCTACCGGGGAGCCCCAGCCGCGGCCTGGGTCCCCCGAGCCCGCCCGCGCCGCCGCGGGGCCCGGCGGGCGAGGCGGGCGCGTCGCCGCCCGTGCGCCGGGTGCGGGTAGTGAAGCAGGAGGCGGGCGGCCTGGGCATCAGCATCAAGGGCGGCCGCGAGAACCGGATGCCGATCCTCATCTCCAAGATCTTCCCGGGGCTGGCGGCCGACCAGAGCCGGGCGTTGCGGCTGGGCGACGCCATCCTGTCGGTGAACGGCACCGACCTGCGCCAGGCCACCCACGACCAGGCCGTGCAGGCGCTGAAGTGCGCGGGCAAGGAGGTGCTGCTGGAGGGTGAGTGGGGCCGGCGGGGCGGTGGGCGGCGGGCGGCGCTGGGCTGGCCGGCGCTCACTTTGTTTTTACCATCCTGGCCCCCTTTGCGGAGAGAGTCCGTTCCCTCCCCCTCCGCGTCCTCGGCTTCCCCGCGCCGGTGGCCCGGCTCTCGCTTGGATCCTGCCTACTGGGGCTTTGAGTATGGAAAAAACTGAGGCTTCTTGCAGGAAAAGTTGGCTTTCGGTCCCTAAGGAAGACTCGGTTGAGATTTAGTAAAAAGCTGCAGCGCTTGAAGCCCCGCCTCTTCAAGATAAGCTGACACTAAGAACTAGAGGGATACTGAAGGGCTCGAGTCCTGGAGGTCTCGCTTTGCCTCCTGAGAAGTGCCGGGTTGGCGCTCTCTTCACTCACATCTGGCCCCCCCCCCCGGGGGAGGGGGGGTCTGTTTAAAAAAAAACAAAAACAAACAAACAAAAAAACCCCACCCACACCGATGCCAGTGGTATGTTTGGGCAAACCACCAAAACTACTGCTTAATTTATGGGAATTTAGCCCACCGTTGACTCTCGACAATAACCAGAGGAGATCATAGCACTTCATCGAAGCCAGAAAGCTGAAGCAGCAAGTTTGTGTGGCTAATGAGCCTTGTTTAACAGAGGAGGCTCACGTGTTTGAACATTTACTGCCAACTAGAGTTTTGCCCCTTTTGCAAGAGACTGGTGCCAGCTTCCTAGCATTCACAGGCATGCTGCTTCAAGGCTTTGAATGAAGCCTGAAATGTTAAATCTCAAGATATGTTTGAATAGCCACTATTATTATTTGCTTTAAGTACCTACGTGATCTGTAATCTGGATCTTTTGTGATGAATTTATGGAAGGCAAAAGTAAATCTCATTTCTGTGAAGTACTCATGCATGTTGGAGGTGGTAGAGTATTGTCAAGGTGATCTGAAAAGCCGGTTGCTTACTTCAGAAATTTTTGAGCGAATGCCTTTCTCTCACTGGTGATTCAGCCATTCAAGAAGGAAGCATTTATTACTGGCTGTTTAGAAGAGGATATAAAAGATAATGTTCCTCTATTTGGTCTCTAGTTGGGGACATGATGGAAAAATGCAAAACAACTTTAAGTTACTGATTATGTAATGCAAACTATATATAAATGCCAAGGGAATGCAAAGTTAGGAAGTAGTGGAAATCAGGATTAGTCAGGGAGGCCTTTTTCAAGGAGCTGAAATCTTGAGCCAGGTCTCTAAGGAAGTAATGGACATAGACAAGCAAAGATGAGTCAGGAGGGTATTCCTGGCAGAGGAAGAGCAGAAGGGAATGGGTGGGGAATAGGGGTAGGCAGAGACTAGTCATGGACCTGAGAGGTCAGAAGTCCAGCTTGCCAAAGTGATGTTCACTTTTTCCCAAACCTGCTTGTAAATACTTGGAAAAATGTTACTTTGCACGTGCTCCCAAGTATGAAATTCCAGTGTCCCATCTTTATAATATCCTATTTATAAATCTTATTTATACCTCACTTATAGGCGGTGCCAGACACTGCTCAGAAATTAGTGTTAATAAATGGAGTAAAATTATAGACTGTGGCTTGGGCAGTGGGTGTATTAAAAAAATTGTAACCTTAAATGTGCACCTTGAAATTGGTCTAGCTACGCATTTGGTTGTAAATTCTTAGAACCAGAATATTGGAGTAGTACTATTTATGTAGTACTCACTGGTAATGGGCAGACATCTCAGCTCTTTACACCATATATTTTTTAAAAGCCCAGTTTTTGTTTAGATATGTTTTGAACCTGGTATTCATACCGATTAAATGAAAATCATCTAGTAAATGTTGCCCGGTATTCATTAGTCTAAAATAGGCCACATGTGCTTTTAGAAGGAGGTTTTACAAACAGCAGCATAATAACATATTTACTGAGTGCCTTTTTACCTAACACACAGGTTCTATGTTATCTTCCTATTTTGTAAAAGATAAGCAGTTTTTGTCCTTAAATGTGTGTGGAAGTATGAAATTACACTTTCAAGCCAAAGAGATATAAAAATAAAATTACTTAAAATATGCTAAATCACTGAAAACAGTGATTTAAATTGAACCAGTCAGACATTTAAAATCAAGAGCTGGTGTTCCATCCAGGTAGGCCACTTCTAAAAGGTAGATTTTATGCTTAGTCCTTAAAGTTTTGGAACCTTATTGTTCTTCCATGAGATGTCTCAAAACTTGAAAAGCTGCCTTAAGTAGCACAGTGATGCTCTTTTGTGATGTGGGCAGGGAATTTCAGGCATGCCCTTGCCACCCTCAAGCAAAGGAAAGCAGTAGTCTCTGGTTGCCTGTGGTTAGGGAACTGAGCTAAAGGGTTCCTTTTTATCTCATGGATTTGTCAGGATTATTCATTCATACATCAAACATTTACTCAACTCTACCATGTGCCAGAGGCACTTGAAGATACCTGATTCCTGCCCTCAGAAAGTTTGGAGTTGAGATAAGAGAGAGATAAGAAATAACTATAGCAAAGGGCTAAAAAGGATGTTATAATAGAACTTGAGAGGACACAGCGCAAAGAAAAGAGAGATCTGTAGACCTTAGTGGGGGTCAGAGGTTGAGGATGCCTGGGAAAAGGTTGATGGAGAAGTTGAAGCTTCCCCTACGAGAAAGCTGCCACCAGTAAATACACACAAATGAGAGACAGTAGGAAGTTATTTTGCCCAGTGAGGGTAAGTACAAATGAGGACTTTGTGGTCAGACAGACGTGGGTCTGTTTCTGGCTAGTGGTTTGTAACCCCTGGGCAAGTTACTCAACCTTGCTAAGCCTTAGTTTCCTCATCTGAAAAACCAGAATGGTAATAATACCTCCTTCAAAGGGTGGTTATTCATTTGACAATTTGTGTGCTAGGTGCTTTCTTAGGGACTGGGAATATAGCAGTAAACAACAATAACAAAAACCAAAGTCTGAATGAGGAAGGTAGGAGTGGGTCATGAAGGTACATGTGAGATGACACAAGCACTCTGAGAGTAGCCAGGGTAACAAGTTGTTAAAATCCAAGGCACCATTTTACTTGAAAAGAAATACGTGATAAGAATAAAGATTACTTAAGGTGAACAGGTTAAGAATCAGTTTGCAGTTCTTGGTTGCAAACACCTTTTTCTAATCTTTTTTCCTGTCATCTCTCTCTCTTTTTTTAAAGATTTTATTTATTTATTTGAGAGAGAGAGAGAATGAGAGATAGAGAGCACAAGAGGGAAGAGGGTCAGAGGGAGAAGCAGACCCCCCGCTGAGCGGGGAGCCCGATGCGGGACTCGATCCCGAGACTCCAGGATCATGACCTGAGCCAAAGGCAGTCGCCCAACCAACTGAGCCACCCAGGCGCCCCCTGTCATCTCAACTTTTTTATTTTTAAATTTGCATTTAGTTTCCCATCCCTTTGATTTTTCCTCTTCATGTTTACCACTCAGAACCTTACCCTTGATTTTAGCCAAAAGGCTGAGTAGCGATTTTACCACTCAGAACCTTAAAACTTGCTTTTCTCTGTGCTTATAGTTTTGGCTAGTGACTGTTAACATTGATATTAAGCTAATGCTATGCAGAGATATTCAGACTGTAAGCATAAAGGGGTGACTGCTCACCCATCAGGTATTGTATGTTGAATTTGCTGTATCTTGAGTGCTAAAAATAGGGTCTAACTAGGAAGCTTCTAGAATTTATATGTTTAGGGCTGTGAAATTAAATGAACACAAATTATACTATACATCAAAAAATGTTCCAGAAGAGGTTAGGGAAGACAGTATAAAGTATTCAGCTTAAGGTTTGATATTTGAGAAAAGATCTTTTTTTTTTTTTTAAGATTTTATTTATTTATTTGAGAGACAGAATGAGATAGAGAGCACGAGAGGGAAGAGGGTCAGAGGGAGAAGCAGACTCCCCGCTGAGCAGGGAGCCTGATGTGGGACTCGATCCCGGAACTCCAGGATCATGACCTGAGCCGGAGGCAGTCGCTTAACCAACTGAGCCACCCAGGCGCCCAAAGATCTTTTTTTTTTTTTTTGAAGCAGTTCTCATTGGACTATTGTTGGAAAATCATCTTTAATTGCCTAAGTGTAGTTTCAAAAGTTTTGTTATCAAATCTGAAAAGAAGATGGTTAAGTGTATAGAGGAAGTGGACTGGTGTGAAATTTAACATGAAAATTGAAAATAATTTTTGTATCCAGGATGGTTTGAGATTTTGAGTGTTATATATAATGTTTTGTTTTGTTTATTTGACAGAGAGAGACACAGCAAGAGAGGGAACACAAGCAGGGGGAGTGGGAGAGGGAGAAGCAGGCTTCCCACCAAGCAGGGAGCCTGATGCGGGGCTTGATCCCAGGACTCTGGCATCATGACCTGAGCTAAAGACAGATGCTTAATGACTGAGCCACCCAGGCGCCCCTATAATATGGTTCTTTGTGCACGTTAGGAGACATGTAACATACTGTTGACAGTATTAGGCTGCTAAATTAAAGAAGCTAGTCTGAATTCCTACACTGCCACTTTCTTCCTTGTTTGTTGGACAAGTTTAGAGTCTCCTAAGGAAAACATTTTACATTTTCTTTGAGATTTTGCATGTATATTCATCAATTTATCTCTTGAAGAACATCTAAATTATCAGGAAGTTTGTGTTTCTGTGTTTGTTTCTTTTTGTTTAACTAGCCTCGTCATGTTTCACTTGAATGATTAGACATGTTTATATGAGAAACTATGTCTTTGTAACCATATTACTTCTCATAGTCTCTTCATGCTAAAATATGTCCTCCAAATTATTATCAAAATATGAGAAGTTTATTGATTCTAATATAGAGTGGTTATGAAAATTCTAAGAACATTTTTAGAAACCAAAACCAGGCTTTAATTGAGATCTTAACTGCTAACTCAGTAACTTCAATATGTTACCTGCTGTGTAATTTTTCCAGGATAAAGATTACTTTACTTGGTGATCAAATGTGTGTCTTTTGTACATAAGGCATGAGATACAGCCCGTGGCTGTG